GTGCCTTCTCCCGCATCCCGTTGAACCTCCCCCCCTTTGCCCTATGGACTTCTGCTTGCTCCTGAATCCTGTACATCTGCCTCCTTTGCTCCTTAATCTCTCTAACTTCCACGCCAAGACCGCCTAACTCCTGCTCTGCCCTCCTTCGAGTGCCTGGCACGCCCCATTTAGCCCGTTTGGCCACCCCATCTCAGCGCCCCTGCGGGCAGGGACTTTCTCCTGTCCACCTGCTTGCCCTGGTACCGCCGCCACCCTCTCCTCTCGCCCAGCTGCCCTGCTTTGTGTAGTGGCGGGAGGGATGGGAAGGTGGGCTTGAGGGGCGGCTAGATCAGTCTGTGCTGCTAATCCAGGGTGTAAACGACGGAGGGAGGAAAGGAGGCAGCCCCGGGGCTCAGTGTTTGGTCTAGGGGCGGGCGGAGGGCTGTGGGTTTGCCGGGGAGGGTGGAAGCCGGGGAGCCTGTGTTGACGTGTAGCCCGTGAAACTTGTGGAACACGCGGGAAAGGTGGTGCTTCTGAGCAAAGCAGCGCCGAAGGTCCTAGGAGTGAGCGCGTGTTGGAATAAGGTGCGAGTTCAACGAAAGATGCGTGGGTGTGAAGTGTCTGAGGAGGGCTCCTCTCCAGAACGCTTCTCGAGCAAAATGAAATACCTGCGTGTTGGGGGCGGAGGGCAGAAACGGAGTGCTGGAGCTGGTGCTCGTGGGTATGAGCAAACACCTATGGACGTGAGGGGAGGCAGCCACGGGGGAAAGACCCCGGGGAGATGGTAGGCGGGCAGGGAGCTCCCAAGTTGGAGCAGATGTGGGGAGAGTTGGCGGTGACTCTCGGCGTGGAGGGAGGGGCGCTGAACTTCCCGCCAGGATGAGGCAAGGTCCCCGAGGAGACCGCTTGCTGAAGGGTGTGTGAGGGCCAAGAGCTGCTGGGGTGGAAGTTGGGACGGCCCGGCGTGGTTCTGCTGCAGCCCCCGAGGACGGAGCCGAAGTGCTCATCGAGGGTGAACCGCGGATGTGGGCACCTGGCGTAGCAGAGGAGCTTCGCCCGCTTTCAGTCCCCGGGCTTGCTCCGGGCTGTTTCGGTGGCCCTCTCGGCCCACCCCGGCGTGCCTGGAGTGACTGGGGTAGAGGGAGCTGAACCGAGAAGGCGCTGGAGGGTTGGGGGGCGCTGCCGTGTTTATGTGCCTGTGCGGAGCCGGGGGAGGAATGCGTGTGGCAGAGGGGGGAGGCCTTAGTGAGGAAGAGGATTGTGGGGAGGGGGGTTTAGCGCCGGGTCATGTTTGTGGAGGAGGCTGTCAAGTAGAGGAGGATACCAGACGTCGCCGCCGTGCTGGGGTCGCCGTGCTTCCCGGCTGCTGCCGCGGTGGCTGCTGCTCTTCACGGCGGCGCCGCCCTCAGTAGAGAAGCGGCGGCGGCGGCGGCGGCAGCTCTGGCTGCCTGCTGAGCAGGGTTGCGGGGAGATCCAGGAAGGGTGGCGGAAGGGGAGAGCCAGGCGCGCCCCCCCCCCCCCCCCGCCA